ATTCTCTCTCTACTATTTATCATCTCTCTACCCTGACTCTCCATCGGAGGCGGCCATCAACTCTGGTGACTGCTCCGACGACTATTCCGGCCATCGCTCCAGCAATTGCTCCGACGACCACTTCGGCATCTTCTTCGACCGCCACTCCGAAGGCCTCTCCAGTAAACTGCTCAAATGACAATTCCAACGCATGCTCCGATCAACCTACCCACTCCCAAATTCCAAAAAAAATCTAGAATTTCAATTCACAACCGCTCACAACAAGTCACAATGTCACAAATGGTCACCACGAACAATTTGCACCCACCACAGCAACTTGGATAAAAAAACCACCAACAAACTCCAACAATTCAAAAATCAAATCTACTGCATAGATCCACATAAAATAATTGATTTTTGTTGTTCTGCACTAAATTTTTATCTACCGCCATCAACCACCACAACCCACATCACCACCACAGCTTCCAAACCAAAATTGATTTTTGTTGTTCTGCACTAAATTTTTTTCTACCACCACAACCCACATCACCACCACTTCCAAACTACCGTTGCATCCTCAATAACAACCACTATCACCATCTCTACAATGAGAAATGAGAATATCTACGAAGAGGAAGACCAAAGCAGATCACAAACACTCATCCCACACTCCACCGGCCACCACAACCACGTCCCAATCCCCTACAATCACAACATCACCTCCATCAACATCAACAACCACAGTTTTACCTTTATCAACACCAAAAACAATAGCCAACAACCACTTCTCAAAACCAGGCGCTGCTACAGCGAACGGCAACACTAGCAGTAGCGACTCAGATCTGATTATCCCGACGATTAAGCAGCACAGGGTCGCGTTCACCAGCTGGCCATCTCACCTCACCCAGTCGATGGTTTTCATGAAACAACACCATCAAAAACAGATTTACGAATGCGCTGCTAGATCTATTTTTTCTTACCACAGGCAGTCACTCCACGAACGGTGAATCACAGTAGTGTTGTTGCGAGATGATAGAATGGGAAAAAGGCGATTTGGGTTGTCGATGCCAAAATCAGTTGGTTGGTCTCTGAGAGAGAGAGAGAGAGAGAGAATGGGCTAGAAACGATTTCCTCCGCCTTTAACCGGTGCTTCAAGCTGCTGATTGCCGTTGTGCGCGGCCTTGTTGGCTCGAGCTTCGTCACAACCTAGGAGAGAGAGCGAGAGAGAAATAGAGATGAGAGAGATTAATTTAATTTTGATTAAAACCTAAGTTTAATATATAATTATTAGGTAATACTTGATTTTTGATTAAATAAAATTTACATCTGATTTTTGAATTTGTAAACTAAAATGTCTGGTTTTAGGTAATTTTCTCTAAAAATTAAGCCAATGTTTGGTATACATTCTTTTAAAATATATTATTTCAAAACTCATTTTCAACCACACATTTTTCAATAAAATAATATTTTCCATCACATCAATAACTTTTTCTTACTTTTAATCACATATTTCACATCATATCATTATTTAAAGTACATTTTTCCCTCAATAATATCTATCAAACTATTTAAATATATCTATCACTTTGCTCAAATTGAACATATATATTTCTATTGTATGTAGCATGTGTTTGGTTCTCATTTTTTTCTCATTATAATGAGAAATATAATCATTGCAATTCAAAAAAGTAACTCCAACGAACATATTTCCCATTATAATAAGTAGAAAAATGGGGATCAAACGAAATCTTAATATTAACATCTACCAAATGTCATAGTTGTCAAACTTTTCATATTTTCAAAGAGAATCACGGGTTCGAATCTCATAGCTCTAAGCAACTGAGCTATGAGAGTTGTTTAAGAATAAATGAAAATACAACTACATATCCAAACAAATATATGCATTGACTCCAAAAAAAAAATTACATACCTGTCGATCTAGCACGGACGATCACCAATACTCACAGGATACTGGATCCGCAGGTGCGTATATGTAGTAGAGTTTTGTTTCTGGTGGGTCTATTGTGTTGGTTGTTGGGGATTGAGCAGGGTGGGGTGGGATGGGATGGGTTGGGTTGGGTATTGGAACGGAAGAAAGATGGGTGGGTTGGATTGAGTTGGATTGGGGTGTTGAAGAATAAGAACGAGAACTTTTGGGGAGAAAAGTTTATTAGAGGGGGTTATCGTCGCATCGTAGAGTGGCTTATTAACCAAATATATTATGTTAACTTGTCTTGAAATGAGAGGCAATGTATTTTTTTTAGTTTATTAAAAATACGATAGGCAAATATACCCTTCTAATGAATTATTTGTATGGAATCATTAGGAAAATGATTAATAAAAATTTGAGGATAAGAATACGTCAAAAAAATTTGGGAACATAAGTATAACAATAAGCAAAATCTGGGGACCTTAAATACAATTCAAATATGTTCGACAAACCAAAACTGTGATGTATATATAATTTCCCTGATTAATTAAATGTGTTAAGTGGATGGACAAATTTGTCCCTCTAAATTACGTCATGTAAGAGACCATCCAATTAATCAACAGAGAAAATGGACATCAATTGTTGCTCGCCTCCGATACTGAACTCTATATTATATATTTCAAAATATAAAACCAAAAAATTGTGGTAACATTTTCGTTCAAAAAATAACAACATGAATGAATCTTCTCATATTATGTCAACATAATTGATTTTTGCTAATATGATTTTGTGAACGCATAGAAAAGTTGAATCCTATCATATTTTTCTTGCAAATAAATAATAGATTTTCAATAAATTTTCTGTAAATCGGTAAAATGAAAACGATAATGAACTTGTAATTGGAGTCACGGGACTCACGAGAAGTGCAGAAAATAAAGAAGATGAAATTGAGGTTGCAGAGTCCACTTTTGAGTGTGATCTGGACCACAATATCTGAAAAAGATTTAGCCATATATCTGACCGCTCAAATTGTAGTTTTCATTATTCCATTTAAAGTACTTCAAGTTTAACATATACGAAGATCACTAGAGAGTCTTTCCCTCACGTACCTATATGAAACAGAAAATGACTTTCTTGAATTTTTTAGCAAGAGTTTTCGACAATTTGTTCCACATTTAAAACGTTTGAGACAGAGATACAATTCGGGCAAAGATTTTGGGACCATTTGCTCCAATTTCACGTAATTTGATCAAATAGTGTACTCCATTATTCACAAATCATGAAATTAATTTGATCAACTTCTTATGTTTCTTACTTTTTACCAAAATATTGGTTTAATAACGTGAAATTAATATAATTACTTCCACTTTTTATGTTTCTTACCTTTTATCAAAATATTAAGGCCCTGTTTGCGAGAAATTTTAATCAAAAATCTAGCCGCTAACTATCAAATCAGCCATCATTTTTGACCTTCTCTCTCATAGGTGGAGCCCACGGGTTGACTTTAAATAGTGTACTCCATTATTCACAAATAATAAAATTAATATAATTACTCACACTTCTTATGTTTCTTACTTTTTACCAAAATATTGGTCTAATAACGTGAAATTAATATAATTACTTCCACTTTTTATGTTTCTTACCTTTTATCAAAATATTAAGGCCCTGTTTGCGAGAAGTTATAATCAATCAAAAATCTAGCCGTTATCTATCAAATCAGCCACCATTTTTTACCTTCCCTCTCACAGGTGAAGCCCACGGCTTTGATTTTGATTAAAATCCCATAAAAATTTCTCACAAACACACTCTTAATTCAATTACACGATAATACAACAACGATGAATCCAATTTTATTTTCAAAAAATCTAGAATAAACTACATTATATTTTTTCCCGGCATACTATTTTTCAAATATATTTTATGAAAAAATAATTATATGTTGTAATTTCTTTGTTAATAGTTCAATCAATAGCAATAGGTAAAGCAACCAGACATGAAGATTACATTTCATCAATAATTGATTAATAATTCAAGGACTAGACAAAGCACACGGAACAAGAAAACAATAAAGAAGTTGTCCATTTTTGCCCAGTTGAGAAAATGCAGGTCATGGTCACAGAAACTGGCCTGCACCCATACCATACCTCTCTTGATGTCCTCAACATGTTACATCGGAAAGTAATTTTTATTGTAGTTAACATTAATTATTGACTTTGACTTAAATTTTAATCTAGTTTTTTAGCTTAACAAAGCAGGGGCTATATATTCTGTGCAAAGTTACTAATAATTCGATAAATTCCGGCTATGTATTATGTTTTTGTGTATATAATTTCGTTATTATTGAATGTACTTGCATGGATTATTTAATTCAGTATTTTGTGTATATATGATCGACGTGTTGAGAATCACGCATAAAGTTTATGCATATCAGTGAATTACATTTAACGACATGTGAGATTAATATTTTTGCTAACATAGAACTAATGTATGTACATGCTCAAATGTCGAACTATTACACAATGTGTTCTTTGAATAATAAAAAGATTATGGATGAATAGAATACCATAAAACTAAAAAATAAAAAACAAGTCCCCCGGGACATAGCTCAGTGGTGCAAAGGACAAGAGTGAGGTAATCTCAGTTGAGCTAGCAGCCGCAGTGTGGAGGTTCGATTCCTGCCTTTTATAAGGTATGTAATTGGACTCTTTGTGGGCCATTAGTATGACAACTCTTGTACTCTGGCCTATTGTGGCATATCCCGCAATTTACCTCCTCCACAATGCTCTAAAGGCGGGGTGGGGGTTTTAAATAAAAAACAAAAGTTAAAATCTTAGTATTCAGTTATGAACATGCCATTCCAAGTATCCAATGCTGGGAATAAGTTGTACAGTAACCGCAAATTACCATAAGATATTAAGCATTCTACTTTTGCGCAAGATTACAAAAATCCAACTTGTACACCATTGTCACTTTTCACTCTCTTCCACTCAATCAATCTCCCAACTCCAACCTCTCATTCTCTCTTTATATAGGACACCTTCATCTCAACAATGGCACCATACTCTAAGCCTAGTGTTCCAAGCCAGCAACAATGGCTGCCAACAATCTTTTCTCGATCGTTTTGATCTTCTCCTTCCTCTTTTTCGTCACGTTAACTAGTGGATGTGGCACATGCATCCCGCAGGCGCCACCAGCTAGCACCTACTGCCCTAGGGACACGTTGAAGCTTGGCGCCTGCGTCGACCTCCTCGGACTCGTCAACGTTGTTGTTGGGACCCCACCATCAGACACATGCTGTGCTTTACTAGCAGGTTTGGCCGACTTGGAAGTTGCAGCTTGTCTTTGTACTACCATTAAGGCTAATGTACTTGGAATTAACTTGAATGTGCCAGTTGCACTTAGTGTGCTGGTCAGTGCTTGTGGCAAAACCGTTCCTCCAGGCTTCAAGTGTGTATAGATCAAGATTCCAATTTCAAGCCCTCAATTGATGTGTTTTTAAGAGTTTCAAGCCTCATTTGGTGTGTTTTATCTGTCAACTTGTTATCTAGTGTTTGGTTTTCACATGATAGGATTAAAAAAAAAAAAAATGTTAAAATCTTATCCTAATATAAGGTGTTGTCGAGTACTATTTACCAGCGTTTCCTTAGTGTGTGAAAAAAAATCTATTATTTTGATTAATAGGAGAATATTGCTGCTGTTTGCTTAATTCTATAAGTTCTATCCTCAGTTCAGTTTTTATTAATTTCTTTTTAAGATTATGTGATTTTGCCTAATAAAAGGCAGGTTTAATTGCTTTTGTCATTGTTGTTTGTTACTATTTTTCTTGAATTGATGATATTCATCTCTTGTTCGGTAGTGATTAAAATCGAATTTTTAGCAGATTTTAATAAAAATTGATAAAATATGTGGTTAAAATTAATCATTGACTTGAATTTAATAAATATCTAGATTTTAATTTGTATAAAACGGGGGCGTAATTTTTTATGATATATTTAGTTCATACATAAGGAAAATTCATTAAAAAGGATCTACAAATCTCCCCACCTCGATTATAGTTTGGCACATCGACGAAAAAATTTCTAGTACTCCCGAAATATGCAAATCAATAACTGTATGTATTTAATCTCAATTGTTTATTGAGTCCTAACTATTATTAAACAGCATTCGGAATGCTATATACCCTGGGAGTTCACGTCAACATATTTGGTTCAGTGTCCTCCCACCCCCACCTAGTACTCTCGGAATATGCAACTCAATATCGGATGTCTTTGTCTCAATTGAATATTGAGTCCTAATTATTTAATACACATGCCAATTAAATAACGATGATAGTAACTCCATACTCGAGTCTCGCAGAAAAGAAATCCAATTCCATCATTTATAAATTCATTTTCTAAAATATACAAAAAATTATGAAGAGCATCAACCTTTCCACTCTAATCACTCTATAATGAACACTAGTTGCCAGTAGCAGTTCTCTTAACCTATTCATGGAGGCGAATTCATCCAACGCAGTTCTACCAAATTCTGTGAAGGAGAAAAAAATTTGTTGTTTCTAAGTGATTATCTCGATCAATGTAACTGCAGCAAAAACGAGGAAGAGGGAGCCACCAATGTAAGCAATAACCTGTTCAGTAGACAAAAGTCGATTATCAATCGGAATAACTTAAAATTAGAAGAAACTTTGAAATCAATACTAGTAAAAATCAGTTTTCATGAGAAATTGATAATTATTGGTGTCATAGATTCACAAGCACAGTCGTTATGGTTGAAAATGGAACGAGACGAGCAGCTGAAATCAAACACTTCATCTAGTATATGTTAAGGTGAGTGTTTACTCGTCTGTTGGAGGCATACATGCGACTGTCTGACTGTTAGACAATGATCCGAGCCATATGATTCAGAAGGACGGATATTAATATGCAATCGAGAAAATGGAATTATGCAAGAACGTGTTGATAGGGTGAATACTGGTTTATTTATACCATGTTTGGTTGATTAATAACAGCACAGGAAGCTACCTTCTCAGATAAGTATGTCCCCAGAAAAGAACCTCCTAGAACAGCGAGCTGCAGATATAAATTGGTATTAATCAGCATAATATGCCTATATATAAGATGAATTGCTATTCGTGAAAAACCATGAAGTACTCGAGACTCCAGAGATATATCTGCACTGCACACATTTTATTTCAAGATGGCATAATATTGTTTTGAGTGTTGTGTTGTGTGAGTTTCCATTAATTATGGTCCTACGGAAATAGAAACAGGTTAAAGCTTAAGGTTTTAATTTGAAACTCGAATTTACCAATGTCGCAGCTCCATGACCAGCTAATGCCCCCGCAATGACCCCAAGAGGCGATGAGGCGGCAGCAAGTGCTGAAAGAGAAAGTATCGCATTAATGTTGGTTGATACAGAATGCAACTTGCATGTCAACTTAAAAAATTTGGATACTGCAATTTCAATCTACAATGATACTTTGATGACAAACAAAATAAATAAAAAGTTCGCCAGTTTTACATGCAGGAATAAAAAAATACTATTAATTATTTCCTCGCATCTTGTTGAGGATGATTCGTGTCGTATTTTTCAGATGGTAGTTTCTTGGATTCCTAAGAGTAATATTCTACGATGTTGAGACTGTTAAAATAAAAGCAGCATCCATTTTTTTTCTTGACATGCAAACTTGACTGTCCCAAAAGATTATAGACTTCTTAACTAGTTGTTGCAGTAGATTATGAGAAAGTATATGAGTTTAGTACTCTGGTTATATGGATTTAGATACTGTGTAATGAAGTTTTCAACTCACCAATTGTAGAGAAAAATGATTTGTCACCCCATTCAGCAACAAAAACTAGCAAGAAAGTGCTGAAGACTGTGTTTGCCGCAGCCAAAATACCCTCACCAGATCCGGAAAGTTCTGAAACTGCCAGCTCAGCCTGGATTGTAAACCAAACATTTCTACAGTTAGTTGTGTGAGCTTCTCACACAAAAACAATTTTGGCATATTTGGTAAGATAGATTAAATAATAAATAGCACTTGACAATATAAAACAAGCAAAAGCAGTTCAAACACGTTCATCATATTAAACATGCACTTGAGTCGTGAATTTTTTTTATTCTTATTTTTTGGATCTACTCGCTTCTTATTAATACATTTTATTCTCCAATAGAATCTAAGATGCCTTTTACGAATAAATTCAACCACTAAACATACACAAGACACAGCTAATCTTCAACATATTCTCATCATAAATATTGACAATTAGTCAATTATTAGTGCATGAAGAATCTGGACGAACTCTGGGTGATTATTTATTTACCAGAGATAGGAGTAGAAAGATTACAGGTTTAAATATTTTAGTTTCCACACTTTGATGTGAATAATGGACCAATTTAACAATGTAGCTCTGATAAAGATGCAGAAAAGTCACCAGAAATATTTATTTGTGATCAAATAAATTTACTTGTGTTTGTGTAAATGCACAAAATATTAATAGCGATTATGCCCCCTTGGCTCCTATCCATAGTACACCCGCGCAACTTGGAGCCAATTTGTTACTTCATGTAACATCTCGAAAGTGTAAACACTTAGCATCAGGATTGATTTTGGCTAAAGTCTCAACTAGATCTTCTCATTACTTGGCAGAAGACTCACCTCCTTTTGTTCTTCGTCTGCTTTTAGGCCATCACCAGAGGAAGCTTCAAGTAAGGACGAAATCCCAAAATATACCTGTGATCGGTCAAAATATCCATGCGAGTCAGTTTCAACAAAATTGAAGGTTTTTTTTTTCTGTTCTTGAGGCATTATACAAATGTCAAATGGTCCATGATGATTTGGTCTATTCTATTCTAGCTAGGTCTCAAATCCCTGGATTACCAGAAGACAAACTGCAGCAAGATCATCAATGGGCAAATTAGCGTCACCAAACCTGCATTCACGAAACCATGAAAAGTTGAAATCTGATACGCATATCAGTTTCCTGTCAGAGCTTGTAAAGGAAATATTTCAATGGAATGTGATTTATAAACAAAGGTAAGTTATTCATTAGCGGTAGCCTGATATAAAGATTATGGCAGAAAATGCAAGGTAAAAAAAAAAACATTTAATTGCAGAAGTTGTAGAGGTGTGGGTGTGCTGGTGTCATATTTTTTTTGCTGAACACGTCAAAATATAGCATCTCTTTGAATGCATGCTGCAGAACATGTTTTTTGGTTTTGGACTTCATGGACCTTATGTCCCATAAATATTTGGTTAGCCTTTTAGCCCTTTTTTTCTGTTTCAAGAATTGGTGAAAAAGTGTAAAATCTCAAAACATCTGATATGGTGTTTTCGCGATTTTGTATTGAGTTCTCTTTACTTCCAGAATATCATATTCCAAACAGTCCTAGTGGAAGAAATTATATTGACGAAGTTTTTACTGGTTTCCAGAATTAATAATAATGCATAAATTAAAAATCAGCTACCAATGTGAAAATATAAACTCAACTTGGTTTAGCTCCTTAAATATAATATAAGAAAAAGAAAGTTAACCTGAATGGGAGGATACCATCAACAAAGTGAAAAGTTCGTCCAAGAACAACAGATATGATTGTCATTACCCTGCTCATGATACAAGAAGCCAACTGTGAGTACAAAGGAAATAAATGTTACCGAAATTTCATGTCATGTACAATAAGGGTCCGTTTGATAGCCTAGAAAATGGGTGGAAAAGGAAAATATTTTCTAACTTTATCCAATTAAGGGTGTTTGATAGCTCAAATTTTTCTGGCAAAATGTTTTCCACCTTTTTTTAGGTACAATCATTTGATGCACAAAAGCTTGATTTTGTTTTCCCACCTATTTGGTGGGAAAACATTTTCCACTTTTCTTTTTTCAATGGGAACAAATTTTAGATACAATGGTAAAAAAAATTTCACTTTTATTGACAACTTCCATGCAAAACAAAGTCAAATGAATGATATTCGGTATAGTAAATTTTTTTTTCAAATTTTTTTTTTACAATTGGAACAAATTTTATATTCAATGGTAGAAAAAATTATCACTTTAATGGACAAATTCCATAAAAAACGAAGCCAAATAGACACCAAACTTTCAACATTTTTCATGAAAAATTATATCAATCAAACACAATTAATTACAATTCCCAGTAAAACATTTTCTAGGAAAATCAATTCCCTGTAAAACATTTTTTCTCTACCCATTTTCCACCCTTGCAATCAAACGGACCCTAAATGAATTTCCATGCTGAAGATAGGAAAATTATCATGGAATCTAGTAGTAATGTGATTGTTTTTGAAGATTGAATATGGTGATTTTCTAATGTTTCAAGAATATCCAAGATTTTCTGAATGATCCTCGAGAATCTGTCCAAACAAGAAAAATATGCTCATTTATAACATGATTTTAGAACTACAAAGGCTACCTTTAATGCATTGAACCATACAAGAGAAATTATAAGGCTCGACTAGCAACTCGCCAGGAACTTTATTAGTCTTGGCTAAAACTTCCATAATCATTTACAGGTAATTTTAAAAGTAAAGAGATTCGGTTCCCATAGTATATATGCTATAACATTATTCGGCAAACAGAAGGAATCTACATTGAACCACTTCATGTAGAAGCTTAATCTCTTGGAGGGGAGACAAATTCATTTATTTAATTTTTTGTTCAACACGCCCCCTCATGTGCAGATGAGATTTAGGGCCCGTTTGATTCTCATTATTGTAGAATGAGAATGAAAAATATAGTCGTTATTGGGCTCCACACAAGAAACAAAAATTCAAAATTGATGGTTTGATGTGATGGATAACGGTCATATTTTTCATTTTTATGGATGAAAAATGCGAAACAAACGGGGGCTTATATTTTAATCACTGGCCTGATGAGGTGCACAAAAGAACTTACGCAAGGGCTCCAAAAGTCCCAAGGAAGATAACAGCAGATGAGTTCCTAGCAGCTAAAAGTGCCTGATTAGGAGAGCAAAAATTCAATAGTTATCTTACTAGAGTGTAGGTTAGCAAGGACATAATAACATGCACATGCTAGGATATATTTTGACTTGAGAACAAAGTAATATATTTAATCATTTTATCTATTATTGCCAGAACCTGGGAGATAAGAAAGAAAGAGTAGATTGCATCCTTATCAAGTAAGAGGAAATATCACAACGTAATTTCTCATTATCTAATGGTAGACATGGAGCAGGGTTCATTTGTATATATATGGATAGAAATTTGTCTATCTGCAATTCATCGCATTTTATAATGAGGCCTTTGGACTTATTCTTTCACCAAAATGCATAGAGACTAACATTTGTACAAGTATATAATCAATAAATTAAGTATGGGAAAGAACTTTGTGAACCATCTAAATAATATCTTACAGCGATAAAGAAGGTTTTGTCCCCAAGTTCAGAAAAAAATATCAGCAAGAATGCCTGCAAAATAAGGATTGCATTCATAAAATTAGCCAGTATTTTCGCAAGAAGGGTGATATTTCAGTAATTCAATTCACAAGAAAAGGGAAACATAACAAAGCAAAAAGTGGGAAGGAGGCGGTATGCACAAGAACTATTTCATTGGAATGCAATTTAGAAAGACATGAAATGGCATCACTTAAATCTAAAGAAGCTCTAAAATGTGATTTGAAAAATCAAATAAAACCCAAACGAAATTTCCATGCTAAGGCCAACATGCCCTTAGTAGAAGAAAAGACTTGTATAATGAAATTAATCGCTTAAATTATCATGAACCTGTTTGAAGAGGGATCATCTCTATTCAGTACCCCAAAACCCCTAGGAAACAATTTTGGCTTTTCCACAAAATTTCTAACTTAAAGGGTGTCTGCGTCATTTAAGTTTTTTACGGAAGATAACCTTTGGTGGATATGATAACAAAGCACTTGACCTTCCAGATTCAGAATCATAAGGTATAATAATGATACCAGAAATAGATGATATGCCCACGTGCAGAGGTTACACTGTAGTATATATACATCTCTGGAGAATAACTACCAGAGACTTTAAGAAAATACAGAGACAAAATAGAACAAGTGGTATTTCACTAAAGAAAATAATGCAACAGCACTATACAATCATAAAGGAAATCGAGTGAATTTTTTGAGTAAGAATAACCAAAAGTTTCTATATATTCTCAAAGTTTGGATTAAGAAAATTGCATCTAGAGCAACGTAGATTTCATGCATGATAATATTAGAAGTTACAGGGAGATTTTCCTAACTGAAGCAAAACCTGTGCTAATATCGCCGAGATCCCCTAAATATGGAATTGATTGCAATCCGCTACCAATCTCTGAACCTGCGATTGCTTGTTGAGTGCTTTGCAGAGTTAAAAATCCCAACATCAGCATAAATTTCAAATGACTATGTGATGGAGAAGTCAGAACTAAGAAACCCAATGACTTTGGACTTCTCTTCCTTGAATTATTTGATGAAGCTAATTTTCTTGTAATATTGCAGCCCGCACCAGTACGAGACAGCAGAGTAAGGTTGCAACTCTTGCACTTTCTGCTTTTAAGTTCCTATGCCACAAGTTAGCATTGAACTAAATAAAAAATTAAACAGCTTTTGGCAATTATATCATTAATCAACAAAAAACTTGTAAAATGGAAAGAAACAAAAATGGAAATGGTGTTATAAGAAGCTTTGATCAAAGTAATCATGTTACAAAAGAAGTGAATATTTTTTCTTTATATTTATATTTTCAACACGTTTTTCTCAAATGGATGCATGATTTAATTTTTACTCGAGGCTTGACAAATTAAATTTCCATAATTGGGAGGCACTAAGACTCGAATCTCAAAAACTTAAGACTGTTGTAATATAGTCTTAAATTACCTCATCTAAAAGTTTAAGTTGTTTGATAGCAAAGAAATTACTTTCCCTGAATTTGTATCTTCGCGACTTCGCCTCATCTAAAAACTTAAAATGTAGCAGAAAGCGCAAACTTAATTATTCAAATTGCCTTAAACATCAGTGCAGGTCTGATTACTTTTTAATCAAAAGCCTGAGACATGCACATTGACAGCGACACTTGAATATAAGACCTCTTCCTACTTCATATTGTGCTTAACCACCTCATTTAAAAGTTTAAATCATTAGAGAGATGAGAAACTTTGTCTTCAACAAGGAGAAGATGCTGCACAATGGTGCACATGCGCATGGAAGTACGACTTTTTAAGTACAAGAAGATTTAATCTCAACCTGCTCTGATGAATAGACCGTAGAAGATGGGAACCGGGAATCACAAGAAGACTCTCCAGCAAAAATCTTCCCTATAAACAAGCAACAAATTAGCTACATCGTATTGATAAAGGTGTTGCACAAGCTAAAATTTGTCATAATTTCACAAATTTCATAGGTACACCATACAACATACACCAAACGTGGTATGACTGGTCTGTGATTTTTTACTAAGTATGCTCTTTCCACATTAAAAACATTAAACTTTTAGCAAAAATTTCCAAGTTAATTACTGAACTTCACTTTTTTCCAAGTTGATCATTGAGCTCAAACTTTGTAACAATTGGATCATTGAACTCAAACATTTGTTACCATTTAGTCACTCTATCCAGGTCTGTTTGTTTGGCTAACGTAAAATTTAATGTGCCAGCTAAGTTGGCAAATATTTAGATTGTCGTGACGCGTCGTGTGGTGTCTTATGTTAATCAAACGGACATTATAGATGGAGTCATCAAGTTGTGACAAAGTTTAAGTTTAATCCACCCTCTCCCCTGTTTTCAAACTTAATTCTAATTATGAAAAGCAAATAAATTTGAATTATTACAGTTTAAAAGCCCATAGACTAATCATCATAAGAATTGGAAATTCAGAAGAATTCAAATCTTGCCAAACGCCAGACATTGAGCTTTGAAAACTAAAGACGAACGTAAAATTTAAAGTCAAACCCACAGAACAGATTAGACCCTTAAATCAATCCCAGTTAAAATTACCCAAAAAAATGAAAAAGTATCATCACTACTACAGCACCAAGAATGCAAATGCAACCCATTTACAAAAAAAATTATCATCCAAATATTAGGAAACCGTATCGAACCGATTATATAGTGACATTTAAAGAAAGCGAAAATCTTTGCTACAATACAGAGGCATGAACATAACAACTTTGTTTACCAAGAAAGGACAGTAGTAAAATTACTTGAGAAGTTGGGGTGGCTTGTGTAGAAGAAAGTGAGACGGGGATTTTTCCTCTGCTCCGCATTAAAACTCCAGGGAAATGCAGTGAAGCAAACCCCTGGAAGAGTAACCATTTTTATGAAAGCAATTCAGTTTTGGGGAAGATGAATGGATAGAGAAAAGAATTGTAAGGCGCCAAGACAAACCATTAGATAGTGTCAGTTTGTTGATAACATAGGGGTAGAACTGTGCAGGTTGTTACGTGTGGTGGGAGATCAGCTTTCTTGGATGGTGATTATTGTTTGTGGGACCAACCAGAATTCGTCCCCAAAAAATAAATAAATAAACATGAAAAACGAATCCGTAACATAAAGCAAAGGACCATGCTACACTCACAAAATATTTTGACAGGCGCCCCTCCAATGGTGGGGCGCCAAGTGGCGAGTCGATAAAACATTTGGTACATCTAGGTTTATCCTAAAGCAAACGGTCCCAAACCTTTGCCCATCTTGCAATTTACATTCACGATTATTATACATTTATTCTTATTAAAATTTTAAAATTTATAAATCTACACAAATTTTATCTCATTCTAAATACATCTCTGATACAATTTCAAAATTTTAAAAAATCACTATATTCGTCCACAATACTTACATATAACGTAAAGATGGTATTCTCCTGCATAATTCCAATATACATAGTTCAAAGATTGTACAAATTGTATTCAAAGTAATAAATTTGTGTGATATTTATTGCTGTGTTCGTAAACAATTACTAAAATTGACATTGATTATAATGATTTTCTTTTAATTGTAAAATTTATGTTTACTTCCGTAAACAATATGTAACATTATCAAATATTTTTAAGACAATACATTTTCACTGGCATGAACATTCATAATTGTCCATGCAAGCAAAGTCTCTAAGCATTAATTTATTAACAATTAAATTGCAACTAAATTTTCATATTTTATTCACAAGGGTATTATAGGTACATGAACCACATTTTATATATGGTTCAAAAAGTGGTCAAGGAGTGTATGTGATACTCAAAACTAGAAATAAGGGATGTTAGTGTAAATTTTTAAACATGAAGGAATGTCTCTGTTATTATGACAAAACTCACGAGTGTCTATGCTATTGTCTCAAAATTAAATATGAATTTAAGAAAATTCGTCGATTATTTAAAAAACAATGTATAGTTACGGACCATTTTTCAATTATTAACCTAAAAATATAAATAATGAACAAATACTTAACATAAATATAATAATGAACAAATGTTAATATAAAATTATTTTATCCAAATCATTAAAACATAGGGATAATTGAAGCTACGATTACAAACCTTTCATTTTTTATATAGACTTTACTCAAACCATTATTTGATTCTCATTATTTTCAAAATACATTTTTTTCTATTTTCTTTTCAATCATACATTTTTCAATAAAATAATATTATACTCAAACCCAAAACATTTCCTTATTTTTTAACCATACATTCTCCATTAATCTACTGTTCAAAAATACATTTTTTGTGCCAAATAATGGGCTCAAACAAGAGCCAAACATTTCATTTGTGTCACTTATAGTCCCGCACCTTTAATTTAATTGCAGCAAAAATACAATTGGACAGTTTCCGTCCATAAATCCGTCAGTTGACCCTAAAACTTGACTTTGACCAAATTGTACCAACTTTAAAAGAGGTAAAATAGTAATTTTAGATTTTTCATATTAAATAATTAAACAAAAAAAAATGGAATTTGGTAAAGGTTCTTCCCAACCTTCATCCACCCATACCTCCCCTAACCACAATCAAACCAAATACCAAAATCTATCCACCACATTGCATCGCACGATCGCCACCCACCAACCCACGTAGCACCGCAACTGCCATCAACACCACTGCAAACATCTGTATACTCATAGAATGTGATAACAATCGAAAGAAATTAACAATTTTCGGAAGCTAAATTCAACATTTGGAAAGTTTAGGAACTCGCAAATTTTAAAAACTTGCTTCGGATCAATGTAAGATGATTGTGGAGTACGAGGATTGAAATGTAATTATTTAAAGATGAAAGACCAAATATGTAAATAGCAAAGAACTCAAGCAGGACACAAAGAAAAATTGGGTATCAACATGAACGAAGAGCAAAGTATACCCCCTTGCGATCACAAGGTGGCAAAAAAATTGTACAACACAAGTCAATGAATAAAGTTGTACGATCCCACAGGTTTTTTCGAGCAAAACATATTTATTTTCCACTTCAAGTCAATTTTTAATTGGAAAGCAATTTGTACATGAGATTTGACGTAATTCTTGAATCTAATTGGAGAAATGGATTCAAGAAGGTTGATGAAGATTTGTTGAAAAGATTCAAGTTTTCGGGATTATCTTCTACCTTCTTTGTACGATTTAATTTTAGGTGAAGTACTATAAATCTAATATGTACTTTTGTAATAAGATTATGCTTGGCTAATCATATAGACGCTGGGATAATGTTGAACCATGTGTTTTGACATTAAATACGTGTTTGGTTTTAAACGTTTGTTAGAATTTTAAATACATTTTCAATTACTTGATCACTTATCGAGCTACTTTGTGATTTCTACTGAAATTTGAATAAATGAATATGAATTATAGCATGTAGTAACGATCATTGTAAAGTCTAATACACGATAGAAATATACAGTTATCGTTTGTATGATCTTATAAATGTTACTGTGATTTAACACCTTTATACGTTAGCATCCTTCACAGAGGTATTGTAAGATCATATGTAAATATACGTCTAATTTTGTTCGAGAAAGATTATTAAACAAAATAAAAACATTGATCTTCATATATAAATAAATCTTACGAAATAATGAAGCTGATATTAAAATGAAAAAGTGTGAAGGGATTTGAAGTCTTACTGCTTGCCCTTAATTGAGTTTCAGATCTGTTTCTCAAGTAATTAGATTAGTTACAGATTTAAGCAGGGATGGATTCATGATCGAATTACAGGTCGGGCTAATACGTAAAAAAAAAAAAAAAATTATACATGATTTTTTTTTTACATAATTTTTTTTTCTAACTAAAAAAAACTTAGTTGGGGGAGGCGACAGTCAGTAGTTAGATTGTATATACAGAAGTGCTAAGTGAAAGGTAGAATGTGTAATGTGCGTTGTTTCGGGGGGATTACACTTGGCCTGTTTGCATATCTTAAATGTTTGTACGGATGAAAAATAGCATATGGCTCAAAAAATCAAGTGTTTGCTTCAATATTGTAGACTTGAAATATAATTATGTGAATTTACATTCATTATTTCACAGATGGATATATTATTATGTTATTTTACATTCAGATATAGTAAATCATAGTATTGGTTAATCAATAAGTGAGAATATTAATATATAACAACATCCTTTAGTGATATAATTATGAAGGGAAAAATAATAAGTCCACGTTTAATTTAAATAAAAATTAAAAATTTTAGTTGATTTCATAAAAGTTGATAAAATACATTATTAAAAAGTCCTGATTCTTATAAGATATGTGATTAAAATTAATTGTTCATTTTTATTTAAATTTTAATTTACTTATATAGTTGAACCGACGGGATTTAGCATATGTTTGATTGTCATTATTTTGAAAAATAGCTTTAAATAGAGTCAAATCTTGGTGTATTTCATTCATCTTTCTTTACAATATTATGGGTATAAATAACCACAGTACATAGTTGGAATGCTAAAGTTTAGAAGTACAAATCTCTCAGTCAGTAAAGCATGTCTCTAATCTAGAAGACATATTTACAGTCAGTCTATTTATGGAAGTATACCAACTTGAAATTATTTCTAAAATCTTCAACCATCCCCTTCAAGTTGGTGCGTATATGTTGTTCATTCCCAATTTGTTGAGCCATCATGAAATGCTTGACTTGATGTGGCCTTGGTGAATAGGTCAGCAAGTTGTTCTTGAGATGAGACATGAGGTGTTTCAATGATCCTTGCTTCTAGTTTCTCTTTGATGAAATGACTATCAACTTCCACGCGTTTGGTTCGATCATGCTGAATTGAGTTGTGGACAATATCACACGCTGCCTTATTATCACAATATAGCTTCATTGGGCTGTCATGCTTAATATTCAGATCTTCTAATAACTTACGGATCCATAATAATTCACATATTGCCTTAGCCATTGCTCTGAATTCAGATTCAGCACTAGATAGAGCAATCACAACTTGCTTCTTACTTCGCCAAGTGACCAGTTTCTTCCTATAAAAGCGAAATATCATGCTGTAGACCGCCTATCTTCGATTGATCTAGCACAATGCGCATCACTGTATCCTTTGACATCCAGCTTGTTACCCCTTTTAAACATAATCCCTTTTCCTGGAGATGACTTCAAGTAGCACAAAATGCAGGTAACTGCATTCGTATGTTCTTCGCTATGAGAATGCATAAATTGGCTCACAACACTTAGTGCATATGCCAAGTCATGCTGACTATGTGCAAGATACATCAGTCTCCCAACTAATCTTTGATACATTTCCTTGTTTGTCGAAACTTGATCCGGATATATGCCTAGCTTCAAATTTTCTTCCATAAGAGTGCTCACTGGACTACATGCAGTCATACCCGTCTTACTTAGTAAATCTAAGTCATATTTTCGTTGAGCTAGAAAGATACCTTCTTTTGATCTTGATACTTCAATACCAAGAAAGTATTTTAAAGGACCAAGGTCCTTCATCTCAAATTCTCGAGCTAGGTAGTTCTGCAATGCGCTCCTTTCTTCTGAATCATTTTCCGTTACTATCATATCATCAACATACACAATGAGACAAGTAATCATTCATTTGTTATGCTTCACAAAAGAGTATGATCTGAGTTACTCTGCTTGTATCCAAAACTTTCATTGAATTCGTAAACCTTTCAAACCACGCTCTCGGAGATTGCTTTAGACCGTATAGGGCCTTTTTTAATTTGCAGACATGTTTTCCACCTTCTGACTGCATATTACATTCGAATGGCAACTCCATGTATACTTATTCTTGAAGATCTCTATGCAAAAAAGCATTTTTTACGTTGAACTGGTGCAATGGCCAATCAAGATTCACCGCTAAGGATGTAAGGATACGGACAAT